CATGTGTTTAAATGAAAACACATGATAAGCAAACACATTCACACAAAAAATTCTTGCAAATACACAAAGCCAACCCTCTGCCCACTATGAGACCTCTGGGTATAAATTGAATGAATGAATAAATAAATAAATAAATAATGAGCACCACCTTAAAGGGACAGGTGGCATTTAGGCACAATGTAGTTTTGCTTCTGTTTTGAAGTATTCACTATTATTGAGTGCAAAAGAGCCACATTTCTACTCTAACCGTTATGCATAGGAGGCAGTGCCAATTTCGATGTTTTTTAAAAAATACATTTGGTGACAGAGTGGAAGTGTTCATTGTCTTTATTTGGATAGGACCAGCTGTGGGCAAAGGTCTAAATGGAGGAGGGCAAATGTGCCTTTTCAGACTGCAAATTAGACTCCTGTTAAGTACTGTTGTGTGTTGACCCTACAGATTGCAAGGCAACAACAGCAGCTCCTGCAGCAGCAACACAAAATCAACCTTCTCCAGCAACAGATCCAGGTCAGAGATTCTGAGTCTATCCATTGTTTTTATTCTCTCTGTCTCTCTTTGTGCCTTTTTCTACTACCCCCAGTTCAATAATTTATTGCCATCAATAAATAGGCAACCATATCTGAGTTTAAGTAGATTGATGCTGGTTCCAAATCTATGGATGTTGCTGTGTGTATATTGGTATGCCTGCCCTTATACTCCGTAACGTGAGTCTGAACTGATTGCAAGTGTCTGTGCAGAAATGGCACCCTGAGAACCATAGCTTGCTGTCCTAAAATGTGTTCCTAGCCCTCATGAAACCAGCTGTGGTGAGCTGCAAGCCCGTCTTTCTGTGCTTTCCAGATGATGGACATGAAAGCAGCCCAACCTTTTTCTGTTACAAAAGTCCTGTTGTTATCTTGCTGTGTGTGTGTGTGTGTGTGTGTGTGTGTGTGTGTTAGTACAAAGAAAGCATGAAAAATGGGCTTGGAGAGTTAGCCGTTTATGAAAGCATGGTGGCTTTCTTATTACTAGTATTTAAAGGAGCTGCAGGACTTCTTACAGATGTAACTAGAAAATGGCTATTTGCAGTGCCAGTCCTCCCATTAGGCGCAATGAGACAACTGCTTCAGGCAGCAGATGCTGGGGAGTGGTGGAGGAGGCGGAGAGGTGTTAAGAGTTCAGAGCTGTGTTGCATGCTGCCCTGTTTCAAATGTTGAAGTAAGGGTCAACAGCAGTCCAGCCAGGAGGTGGGGGTAGAAGTGCCATTTTGTCCATCATCTCAGACAGCGAAACATCTTGGGCTGGGGCTGTGTCTCTGTAAACAAGTTCATTGCTTTTAAGCACCTAATTTCACACAGGAGTGGAAGTTGGTTTGTTCATGTGGAGATTCATATGTTAGAATGTGGTATGCTCCAGGAAGGGTGTGAGATGACATTGATGGATGATTACTAGATATAAAGACGGTGTGATCTAACAACATGTGCAGGCTCCAGCGGACTCTACGCACATAGTCCCAGCCATGCCATAAGCAATAACCCTCTTCACTGAGAACTGGAGAGCAGTGGGGATTAAAACCAGCTCCCAGCTTTCCTTTTCTAACAGCAGCAGTTCAGTCTTGTTTGCACAATTCCTCTTCCAGTTATCACATGCTCCTAACTGGATTGGACTGAAGCCTCTGAGATCTGATTTAGATTTGGGCTGAATCTGTAATAGATGTTATCAAGGTTGTTTTCATCTTAATCTTTTTGATCGTGTTCTGTAAAAGTGGAACTTTTCTTTCTAAAAAAAGAAATCTAGTTATTTTTAAAGTAAGAGATTGGTATGTGCATTAATTGTTACATAGAGCAAATGCTTCTGTGTTGGGGAAATCAGTCCATAATCTATCATCTGTGGCCAAAGCTGGCATTGTATTTCAGAACAGAACAGAGTTCAAACAGAACTTAGAGAAGTAACACTTCCCTTTAACTATATCTTCCCTTAACCTATCAACTTCCCAACCTACCTTAAACTTTATTTCACCCTATCACTGAGTATTTTCCATATTTCTGGTTATGAGTTTATTGATAAATATGTTCCACACTGGGACGCGGGTGGCGCTATGGGTTAAACCACAGAGCCTAGGACTTGCTGATCAGAAGGTCGGCGGTTCGAATCCCCGCGATGGGGTGAGCTCCCGTTGCTCGGTCCCTGCTCTTCCCAACCTAGCAGTTTGAAAGCACGTCAAAGTGCAAGTAGATAAATAGGTACTGCTCTGGCAGGATGGTAAACAGTGTTTCCGTGAGCTGCTCTGGTTCGCCAGAAGCGGCTTAGTCATGCTGGCCACATGACCCGGAAGCTGTACGCCGGCTCCCTCGGCCAATAAAGCGAGATGAGCACCGCAACCCCAGAGTCGGCCACGACTGGACCTAATGGTCAGGGGTCCCTTTACCTTTACCTTATGTTCCACACTAATGTTCATTTTTGTGTTTCTGAAATAAAACCATTCCTGACCATATATATATATAGAGAGAGAGAGAGAGGGAGTTTACATCATCTTGTTTATTCGTTTAACTAGGCTTAGGCAAATCTATCTGATTCTGGTTCATGTCAACTTCACCTATTTTTACTTTTCAAATTTCCATTACATTTCCACATTTATCTGCAGATGATTTTTTTAAAAGGTTTCTCTTAAAAGGTTTGTTTTCTCTGAATATGTATTTAAATTCGTACTTGGATACATTTCAACTGTTGGGAATCAGGTTTCAGAGAAGTGTGAAATCTGTTGACCTGTTAAATTCCAGATCCACACATTAGTCTGAAAGGCATGGATCAGGCCATTTCCCATAGAAATGTGCGGAGTCCAGACCTCTTGGGCATCTCCATTGTCAGCTTTCCTGCTTGAATTGGTGAAGCTGGAACCTGATGCTCTGGCTCACTAGCAGGGCAGAACCACCCACATAATCTCTTGCTTTCTAGGAAATGTAGAATCAGAGGGGCTGCTTCCTAGCAGCCTCTGCGTTCTCTGATGGGTTGAAAGGACTTGTAGCTTTCTGCACTGGGATGCCTGTCCACAGATACTGTAATTCAAGTCTGGTTCACTGCAAGTATCTATGCCGGAAATGGCATCCTGAGAATTGTAGCTTGCTTTCATAAAATGTGCAAGAAGCCAGAGATGGTGAGAAGCCTTTAAGATGTAACCCCACACATGTTGTCAAAGACCCACACAACTACCCAGTCAAGACCGGGCTCAGGGCGGCTAACATCAAATGTCAAATACATTAAAACACAATCAAACAATTGATTAAAATACAGCATAAAAATTAGAATCAGGATAAAATTAAATGACTGCCCATGAAATTATAACCATAGGGGTTGGGAACCTCAAGTATTCATAGGGCCAGCTATCCATGTTGGTCCCACATGAGCCGATAAAAGAGCCAAAGAGGTAACTTACAGGGTCCCATAGAGGGGGGTCCATTTCTTGTCCATTACTTCTGCTTCCAAGCCCAGAAAGTTGACCCGAAGTGAGGAAACAACTCTGTAAGATTAGGCTTGCTGCTTAATTATCATGCATTTGAATCATTAAGATGCTGGAACAAATCTGTCTTATTTTTCCAGTGAAAAAAAGGAATTCCATTTACCCGAGCCAATTTTCTGTAAGGTCTGTTAAAGTCATAGCAATTTTGGATAAATTATTCTGCAAGGAGAGGAAATTTCCTTTGATAATATTTTACTAGAAATACTATTTAAAAAAATAATAATCTAGCACGGACTGATGAGGATTTATACTTGAAAAAAGCCACCCTGTTATCTTAGGCTTTCTAAACAATATGCCAAAACACACAACACGTTTGTTCCCCAAAACCCGCTGTTCCCAATGAAGGCTTCATTTTCACCATGGATTTAAAATACATGGCTTTCCCCAAAGAATCCTGGGAATTGTAGTTTACCCCCACAGAGCTACAGTGCCAGTGTGGTGTAGTGGTTAAGAGCAGTGGACTTGTAATCTGGTGAACCGGGTTCGCTTCCCCGCTCCTCCACATGCAGCTGCTGGGCGACCTTGGGCTAGTTACACTTCTCTGAAGTCTCTCAGCCCTACTCACCTCACAGAGTGTTTGTTGTGGCGGAGGAAGGGAAAGGAGAATGTTAGCTGCTTTGAGACTCCTTAGGGTAGTGATAAAGCGGGATATCAAATTCAAATTCTTCTTCCCAGCACCCCAAACTCTAGTTCCCAGGATTCTTCAGAGAAAGCCAGACACCTCAAATACAATTTCGGTATATGGTGGGTGCACAGTCAACGTTACTTGTTCGGCTCTTAGGCTTCATCTCCCAGTTCAGACATTTTCCTGTGAAACGGTAAACCGGCTGTGATCTTTTTTCTGGGGAAAGGTGGGCTACAAATAGAGAACGTTAAAAACGAACGAGTTATGTGGCAAGTAACCCCATTAAAAATTGGGTTAAAAGTGACTCATAAACTACATGAGAAGGACAGTCGTGACTTCAAGGAAGATTGGGAACTTTCTACAAATTACTTTAAAAAACAACAAAATGACTTGGACTCCCTGGCAGGTTTTGAATAAACATCCACAAATTTATTAATAGAATACATGACAGATAAGGTAATGATATGTACCATGTTTAACATGCAGAGAATAATATGTGCAAATAAATCAGAGAGGGGAGCTGAGGGAAGTATTTGGGGGGGGGGAGAGGGATGGGGGAATAAAAAGGGGGGAAATGTAATTGATTAATTGGATTGATAATTTGTTCAGCAACCTGTGTATTTAATTCTTCAGAACGCCTGGAATGATGCTATAACTTAACGCAGCATTATTCTAAGGAGCATTCTGGAAGATAGCGTTGGTGACAGCAACTGACTGCCAGAGGGGTGACACTATTCTTGCCCCCCCCCCGAACTTTGTAACAATGCGGTATCTTTAAATGTAGCAGCTGGGGAAATAAATGTGGCCCTCAGGTCAGGGAGAGTGAGGAAGAATACCAGTAAGCTTTGCTCCCTGTCCTCAGAATGCGCAAGAGAGACTTCTGACATGGCTCAGTTGGTAGAGCATGAGACTCTTAATCTCAGAGTCATGGGTTCAAGGGCCCATGTTGGGCCCAAAGAATCCTACATTGCAGGGGGGCTGGACTAGATGACCCTTGTGGTCTCTTCCAACTCTACAGTTCTACGGCAGCTTCTAAGGTACCAGTTTCACCCCTTGTTTATCATGACACACACAATCAGTTAAGGCTGAAAGTTCCCAGCTGAGAAGTTTTGGTCCTGAACTAGTAAAAAGGCAAGCGGATTATTTATTTAACTTGTGTGCTGCTTCATATTTCAACCGAAATCACTTAAGTGGCTGGCATATGTGAACCACAAGAAAATCAACGTCTTTTCTCCCCCCCCCCAACAAAGAAATACAATACAAATTTCACATTCTGCTGAAATAAGTAAACCCCTCTACACTTTTATACACGCAGCAGATCACTGCAGCCTGTGGGAGAGTTTCTCCTGAAAGTTCAAAAAAATCTCAGAAGCTCTCTCCGCAGTAGTTCAGAAAAGGCCTTTTAGTGTCGCTGCCACTGTTCTGTGGAATAGCGTTCCTGCTGAGATATGACAGGTGTTCTTTAGCTGCACTTTCCAGAAGCAGTTGAAGATATCTTTGTACCCGCAGGCTTTCCGAGTTGGATAAATGAGTCTTTACCAGGAGTATCTACCTTTTATAGGTTTAGCTTTCTTAAAAAAATAAAGTGCAATTTTGTGTTTTTAACTGTTTTTCATTGTCTTTAGCATTCTATAGAAGGTGCTAAACAAATCAACAACAAGAATTCTACTGCGTCTACTACTAACACTACTAATCACAATTCCACCTTTCGAGTAAAATAATCATACAGCAATAAATATCTCGAAACTTCTCTCTAAATAGCTCTCCTTCGCTGCTGGAGGTTTTTAAACAGAGGTTGGACGGCCATCTGTCAGGGATTCTTTAGCTGTGATTCCCGCTTTGCGGGGGGTTGGGGCCCCTTCCAATTCTACAATCCTCTGCTTCTATGAAAACAGTGTATGTAAGCAAAATAAATGCGCTCAAGTAAAATGCATAAGAGCTGCAAAAGCAGATCATAAACAAAGCTTCAAAATATATCAAGATACAGTAACAAAAGGCAACATAATTAACTGAATTTATGCAGCAGTTCTTAATCTGGCATTGCCCTTCTCAGGAGTGGCGCTAGCTGAGAATTCACTTAATTCTCTCATGCGGCATGTGATTCCTTAGGAAAGTGCCTTCCACGGAGTCAGACTCAATGGGCATAGAATCATAGAGTTGGAATCCCTGAGGATCATGTGGTCCAACCCCCTGAAAGGCAGGAACATGCAACCTTCCCATATGGGAATCGAACCTGCAACCATCTAGTTCAGTACTGTCTATGTTGACTAGCTATGGCTCTCTAAGCCTCCAAGGCAGGGGATATTCCTAGTCCTACCAGGAGTTCCTGGGTACTGAACCTGGGTACTTGCGCATGGAAACCACTGAGCCACAGTTGCTGGAAAGCCACAAGCTATACACTGCAGTGGAGCCTTTGCTACTTCATCAGCAAAAACTGCCCTTAGCTGGGCCACTCACCTGCTGCAAATCTCATGGATTTGTCAGAGGTGATGTCCACCATTCCAGGGTTTTGATATACTCAGGATAGTTTCTTGCCCTGTGTCAGGAGCAGCTGCCGGTTTCCACGTGACTTGGAATCGGCAGCATACCAGATGCACTCAGAAAGGCCCCAAAAGGAGCTGCATCAAATGCTTTTCCCACGACTTTGCAACCTTTTTTTCTTTTTTCTTTTGCAAACAACAGGGACGGACTGCCGTCTAAAAACAAAACCTCTAAATAATTGTCTCTCTCCCCTTCCCCAAAAGGACTCAATAGTTCATTTCCTCTCTGTTAGTGGCAGAGAACTCTATTATTAGTTCAAAACTGGACCAAATTTTAAAAGTTTTCTTCCTGATTTTTATCGTGATTAAACTCCTTTCTTTTGCATTTTAGGGGATAGTGAGTGTCAGGGTAGAGATCGGTTGCAAAACTCACTCAGACACCGCTTAGAATTTTAGTTTTCTCAGGGTTGAGATGAAATGGGTTTGGCCTTGAGAATTGTCCGGCAAGGAGTCTGCTGGGAACCACATGTCAGCTGTTCTGAATATTGTGCATCTAATAAACAGGTGTGACACCCAAAGAGATGACTATGCTTCAGGAATCTATCCTTGCCATCATCTGTTGTTCCACCGGTTCTGAATGCTGTCTGCTCCTCACAGTCCCATCCTAGCGAGCGAGGGGCAAGTGGCAGGCTTGGTTGTCAAGCATGTTAGAAGCAGAGAGGCAGAGAGGGCCTGCCCTACCATTAGGCAAGCTGAGGCAACAACATCAGGCAGCAGTTTCTCCTCTTGAACTCTTCAGCCATTCCTGGGCCAGCTGATCTGGCCAGCTGGCTAAAGGTCTGGTGGAAAATTCTGCCTCGCCATCAGTATTGAAATAAGATTCAACTGTCAATCCAATTGGATTCTGCATGTGAAAGCTGGTGGCTCCCTTGAATGGTGAGTTGCCCAACCTGAGACAGGGTAGAAGACTTATGGGCTGTATCTAACAAAGTTGACCTGTTAGCACAAGTACTTCTGCCTGCGCAACAGGACTTCTTCTCCCCATGCATGTTTGCACAGTGCACCCCGCACCCACCCCCAAATTATTCTGAGCTTTCTCCCAACTCTCCAGATTAGGGGTGTACAGAGAGAGGAGGAGGAAAGGAAGTCCTTCTTGGCATACCAAAGTCCTTGCACTAACAGGACAACTTTGTTGGATACAACTCTGTGGAACTTACTACAAAAACACAGCCCAAGACTGGTTCTCTGAGACCACCTAATTCCCTGCAGTTTTGCCTTCCAACAAGGAGCCCTGGTGGTGCAGGGGGAAGTAAACTGATGCCTCAACTTAGTTTGTCCTCTCAGTGGTCTGCCACCACTACCATCAACTGTCACCAGTGAACTGTTCATTCTGTAAGTTGTTCAGCGTGGTATAGTGGTTAAGAGAGTTAGACTCGTAATCTGGTGAACCGGGTTCACGTCTCCGCTCCTCCACATGCAGCTGCTGGGTTACTGTGGGCCAGTCACACTTCTCTGAAGTCTTTCAGCCTCACTCACCTCACAGAGTGTTTGTTGTGGGGGAGGAAGGGGAGAATGTTATCCGCTTTGAGACTCCTTCGGGTAGTGATAAAGCAGGATATCAAATCCAAACTCCTCTTCTTCTTCTTCATGGACTCCTCTCTTCTCCTTTTACAGGGAGGGCATATCCTTTTTTGGTCCCAGTTCCAACGAATTTTGTTGTGTTTGCCAAAAAAGACTCTCCCGCATTTTCTCTCTCTGCATCAATTAACAAGAAAGTAAATTGCATTTTAAAATTATTAAAGGAGAGATAAATTCTCATGGGTGGGGATGCAGGTGTCATGTTGCGCGTGTCTTCATTCTGAAGCAGACCTTTGCGAGTGTCCTTTTCATTCTGTAAATGGTTTGACCAATAGTCTGCACTCTGTAGACTCCCTGGGTGCCCAGGCTTCAATGAAAGCTCAGGGGAGGTAACTCCACCCATGGGGTGTTTTCAGATCAGGAAGTGCAAGCAGCCCGGGAGGCTGAAGGAATGTTTACTGGCAAGACACAGAGCACCATCATGCAAAGATAAGGTAAGCTCAGAACCCCACACCCATAGAAATTCTAATGAGAACAAGGCAGGGAAATGGGCGCTCTTTTCACAGGGGAAGACAGCTTTCAAGAAATTTCAGGACAAGTTCCAGCACATCACTCTTTGTATGTGTGCATAGGGTGATGGTAGGGTTCTCCCTTTGGGGCACAAGGCTTAAACCAGATGGCCCTTGAATTCCAGCTCTGTAATATCATGAAAGTGTGTTGTTTACATTTGCACCCTGTCCTTTATTTTGCAATAAGGTGATGGGCTGTAGATTAGCAAGAGGAGACTGTCTCTTATGTTTCTATTCCAGCGAGTGAGTGAGTGTTTGTGAAAGAGGGGGGTTGGGGTATTTGTGCGGTTTTGTTTTTTTAAGAATCCCTTTTATTATTTCTTGCCATTGTGTGCCTGCACATATGGAAAGGCGCAGCACGAAGCCGCGGGTGCCAACGAGCGAAAGAAAAGCATCCTTGTCCATTGAGCTGACCTACTAAGGGGAACATTAGTTCGCCATATGATCAGCGTCTCATCCATGTGGAGAGTGTGGAGTCATGAGCCCTTTTGTTCGGAAGCCAAAAAAGGCAGCTTCTGCTGAGGGGAGGTAAAAAAAAAGGAGAAGAAGAAAGGGAGGGAAAAAAGAGATGATTCAGGCAAGATAACAATAAATTTTTTTACTGCTGGCTGGTGGAGGTGTTTAGGATGTGTTTTCTTTATATCTCCGTCCGCCCCTAATTGACGATGCTTTAAAATTGAATGACTAGCAGTCAAAACGTGTTTGCTTCAAGCTGAGAAGAAAAATGCCGGTGTCTCTGCTTCGGAACTGATTGCGCTTTGTACACAACTGACAGCCGCAGTCACTTTGAGTGACTGATAAGTGGGGAGCTTTGCCACTTATCAAGGAATGCGCGCCGAAAAAGAAAAGGACTCTGAGCCATTCAGATGCGTTGGCATGCTCAAAATAACATCTCACATCAGTCAGGCTCGCAAGGCACCGGGAGACGTTTCAAAATAAACTTTGTATCCATCTATCTCGCTATCTGGAGGCAAAGATTCAATTTAACAGACAAATCGCCGCGCAACATTGCAGTGTTTTCCCGGAAAGGAGAACATCATTATAACGGTCATGGGTTTATGCACGATTTACTGGGGTTTCGATAGCAGTTGTGGGTCTTTGTCAGGGCAACCCACCCCCGCCCCCATTCATCACTCTAGATCAGGGGTGGCGAACCTGTGGCCCTCCAAATGTTGCTGGACTGTGCCTGAACATTGGGCCATGCTGGTTGGGGCTGATGGGAACTGGAGTCCAACAATAACCGCTGGAGGGCCACAGGTTTCCCCAACCTTGCTTTCAATAAATGAATGTTATTGTTATTGCCACACACTTCCACCAAATTACTCAGAGT